ATTAATTTGAGAACAAATTGAAGTCATTCAATCACCCTGGAGATGAGGCACCCTCCAACACGGAGGTTACTGCGGATGATGTCAAGTGCGATGAGTTACCTCTCTGCCCGTTTTTTGGCACCACCCTGAATTAAACATTATATTCGTCAGGATCAGTAAAAGCCTGCATGGAAACCTCACGTAATTATATTTCAGTCACAGCATCAAAATCGTAGTGAATCTTAGACCGGTCGAATTCATGATATATTGGCTTGATTCATGGCTCACAATTTATTAATGTTACAGCAGACTCTCAAGGAAGGAAGCAGAACGCAAATGTACTGGAGCGTTAGAAATATGGTATTTCAAACCATTGCTCGAATTTCTCTGAATGACTTTGAAGTCTGTGGACAGGAAGGACTCTGAAATAGTTTAGACCTCAACGCCGCTTTGCAAATAATATCATTCTCTCCAATGTGCTTTTGTTGAAGCCGTGCTGCAGATGCCATTTGAGGTTCGGTCACTCTTCTCAGTTTTGTGGACATCTGTTGCCGAAGGGGATTAAGCCCGGAAAACTAGAATATCCACCTCTTGTCCTTCAGACCAGCTGCATAGTCAGCCCGTGATCTCCTCAAGTTATATACAGTAGGACTACGTTCAAAAGTTGCGTCCAACACTAAACCATGGTAACAGGAATATGGTCTCGAAGGGAGACCTTGCAAATTCTGTTTTCCATCGCCCTTTGAGTTACTACTAGTTACTTTTACTCAGTTTCGACAGCACACCAGCACCACCACAAATCATGCTGAACAGAAGGGCGTAGTCGAACAATTCTTTCTTTGTTTACGTGCCAAAAGCTGCATATAATATACAAAAGTGAAAACTTTGACCTCTCGACTAGCTTATGAAATAAAAGAGTAAAAGTGAGTAAAACAGCACGATTGCAAGACATTGCTATGGGATTAAAATTGAAAAATTAAATTTATGTATTTTTTAAACATTAGGCTTACGTATTGTGCCGATTTTTAATTAGCAATCGGATTGGTCACGACTGTACTAGACAGCAAATGTTTGTCTCGTTGGCTCTGGCATCACCACACCTGAATATTACGACAAACTTTCAATTTTTAGGTCATCGATATACTGCTGGTTGTCCCAAAGCACAGTGGAGCGAATTCATTTGCCCAAAGAAACTAGCAACAGTCGAGGAATTTGTATTTAATACTTTGTGCCTCGCTGAGGTGTGATTCCAGAACCTCAAAACGGTTAAGGAAACTACATATTCACTGAGTCACTGTTGCCTCCAGCCAACCACCACAAGAATATAAACTTCCTGTGCGTTGATATCATCGTCTTGAACCGATTGCAAACGTGATTGATTCGTAATTCCCTTAAATTTGCAGCTTTTCAACACTGTCGCTATAGGGCGCCGGTTACTGTATCGTAGAAGGAAATGTGTCTCTCCGTCGGCAGATCTGCCAAAATCTGATTGAAGTGATTTTTTTATACTCAGCCAGTTCATCTACTACGGACAGCCTTCTATTCTTCGAAGAAAGCAAGGACAACGCTGAACGAACAGTCACTTCGTCAGGAGAACGCAAGGCCGGATGACACATCGTGAATTGTATATCTTGTCATCTGCTCTATCAGCAGATAATGGCACATTGCTGCCACCTTAGCAGACGATGACAAGAAACTCACGAGTATTTGTTTTACTCGTTTTGTCGGGTATCGTTGAACATTGCCTTTTTTCGATCCAGGGCTGTATGAAATCTTTTCCAGGACATTTTCATAAGCCTTTATTTTCTGTGAATTTTGTCAATCTTAATCCAGAGAACTTGTTCAGTCCATCCAGCTGCGGACCTGTAGGGCTTTTCAAGGAACGCTTAATTTCTGTTGGAAACCAGCCTAACGTCTCTCATCCCATACGACGGTCGGTTCTCTTTTGCAACATGCCCCCCTCATTGCCGCTTTTTCTTTTTTCCCTCGAATATCGAAGAATTTTGTTTGTGATCTTATCCATTCATTCGTCTTTCTGTCTTTTCTTGCTATTCCTAACACACATCTTTCAACGTTGCGTTTGGTAGCTCGAAGTTTAGAAATAGCTGTCCGGCTTAGGGTCGATCCTTCGAATCCAGAGGTCGGCGCCGGAAGCGCATACTGATTGAAAACACTCCGTTTCTGACACAAGTG